TTTCAGAGACCATACATGTATTTTAGCCAGAGCTTTTACTTGTAGTTAGTGGGAGAGGGAGTACAGTGAGCTTTCTCCATCTGGATCAGCTCTGAAATTCCTAGTTTTTTCTCATTTATTTTAAAGCATTTTCCTATATCATTAAAACTATTAATAACATCATTTTGATTTCAGTGTTCTATTATATATATATTTTAATTATCTATCCATTCTCATAAAAGCAATTTTTATTTGTTCCTAATATTTTACTATGTCAGAATAACACTATGAAGTATATACTTTCATCTAGTTTTCTGATTTCTTTAGGATATCCTTTTAGATACAGAATTACTATTTCAAAGATTGTGATAAGATACTCAAAGTACATTGCCAAATTGCTTTTCAGAAGATGCTCAGCATCACTAGACATCAGAGAAATGCAAATAAAAACCACAGTGAGATACCAGTTCACACCCATCAAAATGGCCAGCATAAACTAATCAACAAACAACAAGTGTTGGCCAAGTTGTGGAGAAAAGGGAACCCTAGTATCCTGTTGGTGGGAATGCAGACTAGTGTAGACACTGTGGAAAAGAGTTTGGAATTTCCTCAAAAAGCTAAAAATGGAACTGCCTTTCGACCTAACGATTCCACTGCTGGGATTATACCCTAAGAATCCCAAAACACCAGTTCAAAAGAACCTATGCACACCAATGTTCATAGCAGCACAATTTACAATAGCCAAGTGCTGGAATCAACCTAAGTGCCCATCAGTAAATGAGCGGATCAAAAAACTATGGTACATTTACACAATGGAATTCTACGCAGCAGAAAGAGCTACTATCCTTCGCGACAGCATGGATGCAACTGGAGAGCATTATCTAAGTTAAACAAACCAGGGGGCGAAAGACAAATACCGTATGATCTCACGTATAAATGGAACCTAATCAACAAAACAAACAAGCAAGGAAAATATAACCAACAACATTGAAAGAAAAAAGAAACTGACAGTAAGAAGAGGGAAGGAAGGAGTGGGGCGGGGGAAAGAAGGGGAAGGGTCAAATCAAGGAACAGGTATAAAGGACCATGGACAAAGCCAAAGTGGGGAAGGATAGAGGGTAGGAGCTGGGGATGGGTGGGGCCAAGGAAAGTGGTGGCAGGGAAATGGAAACAAATGTATTTGAACAACAAAAAGACAGTAAAAAAATTGCTTTTCAGAAAGTCTTTACTAAAAATAAAGCATTATCTGCAACTCTTGCTAGTTTATATAGGAAAATAGTACCTTATTTAAAATTTGAGATCCAATTGAGAGGAAATGTTTATTTTCATGCTTTTGCAAATTTTTCTTCTGTAAACTATTTTTCCGTGTCTATTATTTACTTATTTAATACATAGTTTGATGAATTTTTATGAATTATAAATATATAAAGGAAAATTATATACGTATCTGCCTATTAGCACAAAAGAAATACACCAGAACAAATCAGAGACTAATGACACTGGTTACTTACTGGGATAAGGAGAACAAAGTAGGAAAACAAGATGGAAGAGTTAGGGAGAGTGACACTTCTTTGATTATACATTTTTGTATAGTTTTGACTTGTACAACTATGTGAATGTTTTACAAACTTACAAAATTAAAAAATAGATGGAAAGTCAAAACTGATATAGAAACAAATAGACCCAGGCCCCGGCATCGGTCGTCCTGATATGCCAAGGTTGCAGGTTCAATCCCCAGTCAGGGCACATACAAGAATCAACCAATGAATGCATAAACAAACAGAACAAGAAATCAATGTGTCTCTCTCCCTTTCCCTCCCTTTCTCACTCTCTCTTTCCCCCCAACCCCCTCTCTTTAAAATAAAATTAAAAAATTTAAAAAATAAATCCAATTGCATTATAAATAAATAACCACTCTGAAGGGAAGGATGGAAAAAAAAATCAATCTAAGTAACTTTGGAAAACAATATTCTAATCGACTATCCAAAGGCTAAAGACAAAGCGTATGCAAATATTTCTCTATAACTAGCAGGACTGTTTTGTTTGGGTTATTTTTTTTAATAACAGAAGTGTGGGTTAGCAGTTTCCAAACAATGTTGTATTTGAAGATTGAGCAAATAAACAAACAGGTTGTCGAAATAAAGTCCAGTTTCCTCACTGTTGGGTAGAGTTATAAATAAGAAAAGAGGGCACGGAAGAATGACCCCTCCTGCATTGGACTGGAATTGCTAGTATCAGTTTGAACTCATGTGTCTTTTAAAAATATTACAGATACAGGCACAAGCAGACAGATATAGAAATACAGATAGTTGTATACAGAAACATCTATTTTATCATTGTCAGCTGAGAGAACTAGAAGCAATGATACCCAATACCATTGAGCAATCTTGTGCCCAATCTTCATTTCTAAGTGCCATTTTCCAATAAAGAAATCAAGGCTTTTGGAGAAATGGTTCCAGGACTAGGGTGGAGAAATTACAAGAGAAACATCTACACCAGAACATGTTGTGTGAGAAAGTAAGGAAGTGCTAAAATAAAATAAAAGTTGGGGTGTGTATTTGTTTTCAATTGCTATGTAATAAATTACCACAAGCTTAGCAGCTTACAAAAAAAAGATATCAACCAATTAACTCAGTTCTGTAGAAGTTCAACTTGACATGGAAGGTTTTCTGTTCATAGTATCAATCACAAAGCTCTGTTTCTTCTGAAGACAGGTTGTGTTCCCCCTGAAGACTCTGGGGGAATTCAGTTTCATGTTCATTCAGGTTACTGAATTCAGATCCTTGAGGTTGTAGGACTGAGGTCTCTTTTTTGTTGGACGGCCATGGGGACTCGATAATCTGAAGATTGCTCGGAGGTTCTTGTCACATGGCTTCCTCCATGTTCAAAGCCCAGAGAATTATTCTCATACTGGTTCCCCTTGACACATTTCACCTCTCTGACTTCCTGCCTCTGACCTCTCCAACCATCTTTAAAGGGCTTATATATCATTAGGTCCGGCCCACCTGGATCATCTCCCTGTCTTAAGTTTAACTGGTTTGGGACTTCAATTCCATTTGCAAAATTATTCACAGTAGTGCCTATATTAGTGTTTGATAGAACTGGATGTTACGCCAGGGTCTGGGAATCTTGGTGCCCATCTTAGAATTTTGACTACCATAGGGTCATATCAAAAGGACACGAGATACAGCAATCAATAAATATAAATTGCTAGAATATTATTGTTTAGGTCTGTGGACTCTACATAAGAGCTGCAATTCTTTCAAAGTAATCTTCTCGATCAACTTCAGATATTTTTAGAGATCTCTAATAGTTTATGTATGTATCATCAATCAGAAAGATAGTGAAAACATGCATATCAAGTACTATGACAGAAGAGAGAAACCTATTTAGTGCCAAGTGTGGGTTCCCCACAGCCTTCATGTTATTTTTTTTCTTACTCTGTACCTCTGGGGTGGGTATTAATGTCCCCATTTTCTGAAGAGGATGCCAAGGCTCCTCAAATTGTTTAGTAAGTAACAGTGTTGCACAATTACTACTGATTTCCATTAATGAACCTTGTAAATACAAGAATGCACTGCCAATGTTAACCAGTATGCACAAGGTAAGTTATAAAATACATTTTAAAAGGGGGAGAGCACAAGAGGCAACTTGAAGGGCCTTCCAATGGCTAAATCTGGGATAATTTCTGCAACCAAATAATAGTAATGGATTATAAATCATAGAATGAATATATATATATATATTCTGTACAGATATACATAATTGAATAAAGAGATGGGGGACATGAAAGGGAAGCTTTCAGAATTCCAATTAATTAATGTGAAAAGGATGCTGGAAATAGAAAATTACCATTTGACATATACCAGAACAGTAAGTATTTCAGGCAAGAATCATCAGTAGATCCTAAAATTTGTGGGCAGAATATGATGAGGTATTTACATAGTCTCAAAGTATCTTTCCAGAAGATATTTACAAAGGTGAAAACAGTAACTCTACAATGGAACCTGGCAGACAGCACCTTAACCAAATAATCAGTTACAATCCCCAATAATGAGACAAGCTGACATCAGTGCCTCTGCCTCTTGATATAATATACTGAGAAGGCTGCATCATCATTTCTAGGGAGCTCTTACCAAAAATGCCTAATTACGAGAAATATCGAGCAAGTAGAAATTGAGGGCCATCCTACAAAATAACTTTTCAAAAAACACCAAGGTCATGGAAGGCAAAGAAATTCCAAGGAATTGTTTGATTAAAGGAGGCTAAAGAGATACTAAAACTAAACAGAACAGGTGACCATGGATTGAATCCTGAGCCAGAAAAAGGAAGTTAGTGAGACAATGGTGAAATCTGAATATAGTTTATAGATTTTGTAGGTTTTTGACATAAACTCTTTAAGAGTTGTCTGAAGTCACTCTTTCCTTGTCCACATAATAGCATTATTGTTAATTTCATTTTTATAATCATATTGTGGTAAGATGTCATGTTAGGTAATCCAGGTAAAGAGTATACAATTTAAAGAAAAACCCTACTTTTAAATTTCCATCTCAATTAACCACAATGCAATTTTGCCTAGTTACCTGAGGTTTCCTCATTAATTTTGAAAGATTTAAAATGTTAAACTCTCTATATACACATATACATATATATATCTACCTGTATATATTATCTATACATATTAAATATTGTATGTATAAATCCCTATTACATTATACTTAAATATAAAACCTCTAACATGTTACCATGAGTTATTTTTCCCTCTATTTACCTTTTGGTTTTAATGTTGACATACACCACCTGAAAAATTTGAGCTGCTCTTTGAATTTCCCAGACACTGCAATGTGATATCCTGATTTCTTGTTAAAGTACATAATCGATCACCTGCTATTGTTCATTTGGTTGACTTAGTCTTTATATAATAAGTTGTTTTTAATAATTTATAATAAATTTCCAGTGTTTTTTTTCTGAGTCCTGCAATAGAACTTTGGTATACACATTTTTGAAAAAATGACCTAGATAAGAATGTCCATCCATTCATTAATATTTATTGACTGCCTACTATGTGATAGGCACCGTTGTGGGAATTAGGAAGAGCAGTGAGCAAAAATGGACACTTTAGTACCCTCAGGTCAAACAGAATGGGGGGAACAAAGTTTACCATTTTATTTTTTTCCACAGTATTTTAATAGCTTCCACCACTTATTTGCTACCACTGTTATTTCTTCTATTCCAATTTTGTTACTGAAATATCTAGTAGAGATTTAAAGTAGAATGAAGAGCAGCTATAGGAAGCATATTTATATTATTTTTTGCACTTACAATAAGGGTATTACAAAACTTAAACAGGATGATGCAGGTTAAATCCTTAGTATACTGTGTGATAACAAACATAGTCTCTCTGAGGTAGATACTATTTATTGTTTCTTATTTTACAACCAAGGAATCTGGGGCTTGGAAATAAAAAATAACTTGTTTAATGTTACTCAGGTAGAAAGTGGCAGTACAAGACTTTGAACCATATCTGACTCCAAAGCTGTAACTCTTAACCACAATACTATACAGTTTGCCTTCTGCTCTAAAATACTCTTATCGTCAACCCATATTTAAATCCTACAATACATACAAAACATTATTTTTCCTTCTCATTGGCATTTATCATCCTCCTGAATTTTGAATCTAAAATCATTAACAACAAAAAATACAAGGACAAGTTAATCAATTACAAAACCAACATTCTAGAATTAACTTAATCATTGATGCTCATATAACTCAAACACAAATTGCTTACTTTATTTAACAATGAAATAGTAACTATGCAATAATTTAGTTGTAACAAAACCATCAATACAGTAAAATAAAAACAAAGCTAAGTAAGAGGGATTGCTTCAGTCCAAATTATCTCCTTTAAACAGGAAAAACTACCAGTAGTCCAGTGGTCCTCAAACCTGTCTGCACATTAGAGGAACGTGAAGTGGGTGGGGAGGGAGGAAAGAGGATTGGGGCTTAGAGAAACAGCTGTATCCAAGGCCCACATCAGAAATCAGAACAATTAAATGAGAAAGGGCCCAGGCAAAGGTTTGTGAAGTGTTGCCAGTGTTGAGAACTACAAGTCTATAGTAGTAAGCAATAAAAACCATGTCCTCAAGGCATTTCAAGACCAAAAAAAAAAATGTTTTTAAAAAGAAATACAATAAACTTCTTTCCTTTTATCTTAGGAAAGTGGGGAAGAAAGCACCTACTCATTTCTCGTTGTTATCCATTTTTGATAGCCCAAAATAGAGCTTAACAAACATCCTACTCACACTGAAATTCTCACTACTTTACATTTAGAAAACTTTTAAATTTTTATTTTTTAGAAAGCTTTCATAATACCAGCTTTCAGAAAGAATTCCCCACATTTTAAGTTTGCATAGATGTTTGTCAGCTATTTGTTCAACTAAGAAGAGTCAATAAAGCATATTAATCATTTTATTAAGTTATTATAAAACAACACTCATTTTATGTACCACAAATTAACATTTTGTTGCAGAGAGGACTATTTGAATGTTACCTATTTCTTAAACTGTCAGAATTCCTTTTTATAAGGTTGGTATCTTCAAATTTAGAATGTAAGCACAAATTTTTCTTTAAGAATGCACACATAAAATACTTCCCTTAAAACTGCATTACATCATTGACAAATCCTATTGGCAGTTTCCATAGTGACTTGCAGGCATTGATCTTTAAGAACAGCCTCTCCTCATTTTTCAAGTTTGGAAAGAAATCACATAAAGTATGGAAAATAACTTTTTTCCTTAAGAATACAGAAATTCATTGAGATGTCTTCTCAAATTCAGAAAAGCCCCTTTCTTCAGCTCCTGTCAGGACTCCATGTCAATTTCAACTACTTCATCCTTGCCCTGAAGCCTTGCTTCTGTAAGGTTATCTTCACTTACATCTTCAATGTCTGCCAGATCAATAGGTGGTAAAGGATTCCTCCAATACTGGAAGGTGTTATACTGCCAAAACTCTTCATTGAGCTTCAGGGAAAAAAAGAGAAATAAAAGTACATCAATGTTTAGAAAAAGGTGTTTTTTTCTTCAGGAAAGTTTGCTTGCTTTAAAAGAAAACTCACTTAAGAATTTGCCATCTTGTTACTGTTATTTTCAATGAATATAAATTTTTAATTGTCTAACCAAAGTACTTCATGAATTCAAATCTGTGCATTTTCATATTGATAGATGTGTGAAAATATTTGTTAGTAGTTTAAATTTAAAATATTTTCTTTCAAGGCCCTGGCCAAATAGCTCAGTTGGTTAGAGCATCACCCTAACATGCCAAGGTTGCAGGTTTGATCCCCAGTCAGGGCACATACAGGAATCAACCAATGAAAGTGTGTGTGTGTATATATATACAGAAAAACAAATTGATGTTTCTTTCTCTAAAACTTAGTATTTTTTTAAATTCTTAAAATAATTTCTTCTTTAAAATCTTCACCCTAGGATATGTTTATTGATTTTAGAGAGAGAGAAATATATTGATATGAGAAACATCGATCAGCTGCCTATCCTAAATGCCCCCGACTGAGGATCGAACCTGAAACTTAGGTATGTGCCTGACTGAGAACTGAACCCGCAACCTGTTCGTGTACGGGAATGATGTTCGAACCATTGAGCAAACTGGCCAGGGCAAAAGACTTTTTCAAGAACATTACTTTCCACAATTTTCTTCCATTTTCTACCAAAGAAAATGTCTTAAATTTTTTTACCTTTTAGTGAGGAAAACATTTTTATTAAAAAAATATGCACAAACCTTAAAACTTATTTTTGGTCTTTTTCCTGAGGTTTGGTATTTTAAGGGATTGATTTACATAGGTTAAAATATTTTGACAACTTTCTAAAGAAAGTATTAGGATACAAACATGCTAAATAGCAAAACATCTAATCATTTTTATCAAGATACTGTACTGTTTGGTACAAGGCATTGACTTTTAAGTCAATATAGCAAAATTGATAAATTCAAGTGAACACAGACCCCTTAAAAATTTAACAGCTTACTCTGAATGGCTATAAAATTGTTTTAGGTAACTATGAAGTTGACTTTCCAATAAAGTACAAAATTGGTGCATAAGTTCAAAAGCATTCCAAAAATACTTTGTGCAAAGGAAGCAACATTGGAATTATACACAGGCTCCCAAAGTGACCATTATCTATCCTGGATGGATATCTATATACCTGTATCTATTCTACTATGGTATACTTTTACATTAGGTTCATACTTGCTAAGGCAGCATTATCCAACAGAAAGATAATGGAATTCACATATGTAATTTAAAATTTTTCTATTATCTGCAGTAAAAAAGTAGAAACAGGTCAAATTAGGGTTTGGCAAACTAGAGACCACAGGCCAAATCTGGTCTTCAACTTTTTTATATATGTCCCAGCAGCTGAGAGTATTTGTCACATTTTAAAGGGTTGGGCGGGTTGAAGATAAAAATATGTGGTTGAGACTGTATGAGGTCCACATAACCTAAAATATTTGCCATCCAGCCTATTACATAATTACATTCACTATTATCATATTCGGCTGTGCATAATACACTCCCATGTATAATGCACACCCATGTTTTTGGCCCAAACTTTCAGGAAAAAAACTTTTTATTTCTTAATTCAATTATTTATATTTAGGAACAAAACCAATTATCATATTCCAGGGTATTGCCCTTGATAAATCAAAATATGCTTTAGAAATAATTTAGTGAAAAATAGGAACATATACACCAAACCATACATGGCATTTAATTTAATCAAGGAGCGCACGTCATTGCATACAATCACTGCTCTGCTTTCCCCTTGGCACCCTGGAAGCATTACTATGGCCTTGCCCTAAATTTCTGATCCTCCTGCAGTTGCTACACTGACTTCTCTTAGGACACCAAGAAAAAGTGCTTGTGATAGCCAGTGGTCCTGTGACTCTCAGCAGGGAGGGCAGAGCTTTGGGCAGAGGGACCACAGGCAAGTCAAAAGGTTGGAAGACAGACTCCAAATTCTCCTCCTCCTCAGCTTCTGAAAGGCACTCACTGGGCATGTTCCATTTTGGTGTGTCTAAAAGCATACATTTGCATTTATCTAGTATAAAACAACAAGTTTGGGAAAATAAGTGGAATGGAGAGGCAGTGTTCCAGTTAAGACAGTTCACCTATTGCCAAGGTGATTGGCGAAACTATGAGGGTGGCAAACTTGAGCTGGTGGCACCTCTGTACCTTGTGGGCAGTTGACCAGGCTTTGAGAATAGAATCAATTTTTATTTCTCAAATTTCTAAGGACAGGATGCCAAGAGGATTCTTTGTCACAAACTGCCCTTGGTGTTTGCGAGTCCTGGGAAGTAGGGGCGGGGAGTGTCCATGAGACCAGGCTGCTGGGATCACCTACGCGGTCTGGTCGGTGACATCCAGTGTGGGCTCCTGAGGTGTGAGCTCATCCTCAGCCCCTTCACCAAACCAGGTGCCCCAACTTCTTTTTTCCTTCAAGGCTCCTGGCAGGGATGCCTGGGCTACCCAGAGGTCAAGTGAATTAATCTTAATATTTTATTTGATCTAATACATCCAAACTGCTGTAATTTCAACATTTTAAAAAATTAATGAACAGTTTACATTCTTTTTGTCATACTAAGTTTTCAAAATCTGGCAAGTACTTTACACTTCTAGCACTATCCAGACCAGCCACCTTCCAATGAATAACTGCATGTGGCTGGTTGCTTTACTGAAAAGCACAGGTCTTTGGGAAAATCTCATTAAGAAGGCCATTCTGTGTCTGTACACAATAAGGCTTACAGGGGTGTCCAACTTGTGGCCCATGGGCCACATGCAGCTCAGGATGGCTATGAACACGGCTCAAGACAAAACTGTAAATTTACTTAAAACCTTTTTATTGCCCATCAATTTTCATTAGTGTTTGTGTATTTAATGTGTGGTCCAGAGATGCCAAAAGGTTGGATACCACTGGGCCTTAGAGAATTAAGAGTCTCTCTGGAATTTCTTAACACTGGGATGAAAATGTACTAATTCAAAGGATGCCAAGGAAATTTTCATTTTAAGCAAATAAGGTTAAAAACAAGGACCTAATTCTTTGCCTACTGCAAATAATCTATGTTTGCATTACCTACTTATAAACATGGCCAAAAAGGATCCTGTCATGTCAGTGTAACCTTGCATCTAAGAGCACAAACTCTGCCACCAGACTGACCAGAATTTGCACTTCCCAGTAACTCTCATCTTGAACTAATCAGTAAAACATGAATCTCTTGAGAATTAAGGTTTAGCACTGTAATTGTTCAGTATTGCTAGGTTATTATATCCCATGAAGCCTTTGAATCATTAATCACTTACTTCCAGGAAACAACATTTTTGCTTATTTTCTGTTAAAAATATTTAACAGAACGGGTCAGCACCGACAGAGCAACTAATCTGCATAAAGTGACACTAACATGAGAAAAGATGAACATTTAATGAATACCTAGTTTTTAGTTCTTTATTTAAAAAATCTCAAACAAATCAAAAAACATTCTAAGGTTCCGCCTAGATTGCCTCCCCAATATACAAATGACACAGTTGAGAAAATTTTTCCTAAACAAGATCCCAAAATTGAGGGCACAGACCTAAGCCTTATTCTAAGAACAAGAATCAGGGAGACAGACATTTACTAAATAAACCGAAAAAGCTTTTTAACTTATTTTTATTTATCCTGTTTTCCTTGGTAATTATCTGTGAAACCCTTAAAAACCATACATATTTGGAGGCAGGAGAGAGAGAAGGTAGAGAACAAATATTCCTCTTGTAGGTATGCAGAAGTGAAGCAGCTCAAGGAACAGAACAAAAGGAAGGAACTTAACAGTTCCTGGGCTTTTGCTGCGGGTGGGGTGCTGGGTCGAAGGAACAAGGGACTAGACTTGGTGAAGGAACCTTGGTTCCTGCCAAGAGCCTGTAGTGACATGGATGCAGAGAACTGCCAGCTGTAGTCACTGCTGAGGAGGAAGACACAAGTGTGCCTAGGAGATTCTAAGCAGGCATCTGTGCCAGTTCACTAAAAAAATTCTCCTTCTTTGCCTACCTGCCATTTCCATACTTCCATCTTATCAATCTATAGCACACTGTACTCAGTCTGCCACACGGCTATGCATGGGTGGGGTCTAAGAGGCAAGTGTTCGAATAGGCCTGAACGACTACCATTTTTTTTAGGTTTTTCATATTGGCAAAGACACGATCTAATTGAAAATTATAATTCTTTATTTTCAAAATGTAGGTGCTTTCCGTTGGTTTTAAGCAAGCCAATTATGAAGAAAAAATTCTAAATAAGGCTCATGTTTCCTAACTTAAAAGAAAACTGGGCGTAGAAATTTACAACTTATAATTTCATCCAGAAATGCTTTTCATGATTATGTCTACAGGATAATTTCACAATCACAGGAAAAGATCTTTCCCAACGATAAAATTTTCATTTACTGGATTTTTCACCAAGAACAAATCATGCCAAAGGAACCTCAATTCCTTTTTCCGGGGGAGGAGAGCAAAGCATTTGGTAAATTCTGCTAAAATACGCGAAGCAATGGAGAAGTGTGAAGTGGAGGCTATGATGTAATGGTTGACGAGTTTGGTGAATTCTGAGCCCTATATTTGATTCTTTGATCCCCCAAGCTCCACGTCAACAAAAAACTGCCAAAAAGCAATTTGAATTCCTAAGTCTAGACCAAAGCTGTCCAATAAATATATAATGCCAGTCACATAATTTTAAATTGTTAGTGGCCGTATTTAAAAATAAAAGAGGGAAAACGAATTTTAACCTAGTGTATTTAATCCTTTATCTCCAAGTTATTTCAACGTGTAATCGGTATAAAATGTTGAGATCTTCGAAACTGGTTGTATTTTAAACTTACAGCACGTTTCATTTCAAGTGTTCAGCTGTCTCACGTGGCTAGTGGATGCCATACTGAACACAGATCTAGACAAATCACATCTGCTGTACAGAGACAGGGCAGGCTCATTTACCAAGGAACGGGAACCCTCCAAAGATCCTCATATACCTTAGGGCCCAAGTTAATTTTCAACAACTCTTCTTCGCAGGATCACACTTAACACTGTGAGTTACTGATAAAATACCTTTCCCCAAGATGTAGAAGTCCTTCCTCTCTATAAAAAAAACTGTACCACGCCTAAAGAACCTCCAGTTGATGGCTACCACACTGGTCACCTCTTAAATAATCGCGAATTCTGGAAACAAATCATGGTTACACCAAGGAAGGCACACTACACCTTTCCCTGACCTTTGTCGCTTGACCTGAACCTGTCGCGGTTCAGTCAACGTCGCCACCAAACTTACAATCTATCACGAGGTGCCATGGTCCTACTTCCCTCGCACTTAACAAAGGCACGGAAGCTGCAAGGACAGGTCTACCTCACCCGACGGCCTGTTTCCCCTGGTTTATCGGAGCGCTTTCAGTCCGTCGGACTCTCTCAAAACGCTGGCAAGGGTTGGCTCTGGGACCCTCGCTGTGTCGCCTGGAGGTGGGCGTCCATTTCTGAAGCAGTGACCCCAGCTTTTCGCCTTTTGGGGCGTCTTGATGAATATGAGTCTAGAGGGGTACGATCTGTTCCTTCCCAGGGCATGAAGTACCTGGGAAAACGGTGACCCCACCCACCCGCCCCTGGAGCGCCCAGATCGCCCCCAGGCCCTACCTGGCGCGGTGCGGCCCCCCAGTCTCCCCGCGGGGGCTCTGCGCGCCCCACCCCGTTGTCGCCACCGCCCCTCGGGGGCCGGGCGCCCCCGGGCTCCTCCCCCGGCCCGCGGGGCCGCAGGGGCGGCTGCTGCAACAGCGAGGGCTCGCCGGTCTCCAAGCCGCGGCCCTCACCCTCCGCGCTGCCCTGAGCGTTGCTGTCCCCACAATCGTGGCGCTTGCTGGGCGAACCCGAAGGCTCAGTCATAGCCCCCGCGTCGATTTTGCGCTTTCGGGGCAGCTCCGGGACTCCAAGGTGCTGCCCAGGATGCGAGGCCGCCGCCGGTGGGATCCAGAGCGGCGGCGGCTCCTCCGGAAAGTTGCAGAGCAAGGGCCGCTTCCAAGGCACGTGGAACGTTAGCGGCTCGGCCGCACGCCGCTTGGCCATGGGCCTGAGAGGATCGGGCGAAGCCGCCCAGCGCGGGAGGCCGAGCGCCGATAGCTGTGGAGGGCGGGGCAGAGCGCGCGCGAGAGGGAGAGGACTCAGTTGGGGCGAGGCCGCGGCAGGAACGTGGTAAGGAAGCCCGGGGGGTGGGGTGGGGGTGGGCACCCGGTTTCCCCACAGCTGGCGAGCGCAGTCCTCTCAGCCGCGGAGGTGCGGCCGGACGTTGGAGAATAACCGCTAACCGGCGGAGATTCGAACCGGCGCACAGACGTGCGCTAGCGTACACGCGCCGGTAGGCGGAGCCGCTGGTTGGTGGAGGCTGGAGAAGCACGCTCCCGAGCGCCCCCGCGGCCGGAAGTGCGCGCCGCAGGGGGAGGCGGGAAAGCAGAGGCGGGTTTATTAAAGGCCCAGTCCAGTTACCTGAGTGGAGTGTGTTGGTGTTTCCTTCCGGGCGGAGGAGGGGTGTGGATATTCAGCGCTCCGTGAAGCGATTTAGGCTTAAAACATTTAAAACCTGTTAATACGCCCTTCCTTCAGTCATTAGACAGGAGGACGTCTCCAGGAGGTTAAAACAAAACTATACAATGTAAACTTTTAATGAACCCGTAGCACAACATTAAGTTATGGGAGACAGGCTGCTGAACAGAGGACGGGGCTTAGGGGAATAGCTACAGCGAGCAGGCGAACACAAAGCAAATTAAGACAACCCAGCGAATTGTATGTTTTGAACTGGCTGCTGTGGAACGTGAAGTAAGCACTACATTCCTTAAAGATCTTTTGATTAAAAATTCACTGATGGCCTTTGGCCAAGTGGTTCAGTTGGTTGGAGCGCGGTCCCCGTTCACCAGAGGGTTGGGTTCAGTCTCCACTTAAGGCACATATCTAGGTGGGGGGTTCCTCCGGGGTGGGGCACTTGGAAGAGGCAATCGGTGGATGCTTCCTTCCCACTTCTGTCACACGTTGATGTTTTTCTCTCCCTCTCCCTCTCTCTAAAATCAAGCAAGTATGGCCTTAGGTGAGGATTAAAAAAAAAAAAAAAAATCAGTGATGGTGTTACAGACACGTGCCGCTCATCTAAAATAGCTCATCCAAGGGCCGGGCTTGCACAGCTCTTTTCCAACTGAAACGAAATTGTTTGGCTCTCAAATTACCAGGGAAGCCACGGAGTTCCTTGCTTACTCTTCGGCGATCAGAAGTGAGTTTCCAAGACCTACTCCCAGCAAAATTGTGTGTGATGTCAAGCAAAGTGAGGAGGGGTAACAGCAGTGTATTTACTATAGCTTTTAAAAAGTTTTTTATTGTTGACAATAATACAGATGTCCCCCATTCTCCCCGTCTGCTTTGCCCACTTCCATCTCACCCCAGTGCCCCCATCCTGACCGCCCTCACAAGACTATAGATTGTATTTTAATAGTTGATAAAGACTAACCAAGTGAAAAAAAAAGTGAGGAATAAAATTATTTATAGATGCTTTAAATGGAGAAACAACTATGATCTAGAGAAAAAGTGCAAGGAAGACCATTTGCTGTTAACTGGTAGGCATTCTCTATTAATTCCTCCCTGTCCCTACACCTCAAGGCTGCTGTGAGAGGATTGGGCAACTACTTGCATATTTGTAAGCACAGAAATTGAACAAGTTAGGGTGGTAAACAATAGCTTTTCTGTTTGATCTTTTCATTCCTTCTTGTTTGAAATTGATAACTCATCTGTCTAAAATAGAAGAGTTTGCCATTTTCAAACCAGTGACACAGATCGAACATTCAAGAGCTTAATTTTACTTGGAAGGCTTTTAAGGTATCCTGCCCCACAATAATAAAAGTGCTGTTTAGCAAATAGAGGTTCATTCCTTTGCGGTCTTCTCCACAGACTCTCTTTCTTTCTAAGTTGTGGAAATCATCATCTATACAAAAGGTTGCATAAAACATATATGTAGTTAAAAAGAATGGTAGTTTCATACCCACTACTCAGTCTCAAACATAGACTATTACAAGTACTAGAACCCAAGGACCCTAGTGCTCCCCCACTGGTGCCTCCCTCCCTTTCCCCAGTTCCAGGTAATTATTATTTTAAATTTTGACTTAATCATTTATTGCTTTTCTTTTTAATTTCCCCACTTGTGTAAGTATTTCTAAATAACATTTTTAGTTTTGCTGGGGTTTTTTAAAAAAGCTTTATTGAGGCCTAATTGACATAAATATACTTTAGATATTAAAGTATCTAACTTGCAGATATATCTATGAAGCCATAACCACGATTAAGATAATGCACGTATCCATCACCCAAAAATGTTCCTTTTGTCCTTTTGTAATGCCTCTCCCCTTCCTGGCAGTGTAACCTGCTTTACTTTCTGTTATAGATAAAATTGCACTTTCTAGAGTTTTATATAAAGGGAATCACACCGTATATATACTGTTTTTGTGTGGCTTCCTTCAGCACAATTATTTTGAAATTTATCCTTGTTATTACATGTTTATTCCTTTTTATTACGTAATAGTATTCATTATTATGGATATATCACAATTTGTTTATCCATTCACCTATTGATGGACATGTAGCTTACTTGCATTTTAGGGCTATTACAGATAAAGCTCCTGAAAACATTTGTATGTAAGGCTTTGTATGGATATAGGCTTTCTTTTCTCTTGGATAAATATCTAGAAGTGGAATGGCCAGATCATATGATAGGTGTATGTTTAATTTTTTAACTGCCAAATTGGTTTCCATAGCAGTTGTAACATTTTACATTCCCATCGGCAGTGTATATGAGTTCCAGTTACTACACATTCTTTCCAACATTTGGTCTAGTCAAGCTTTAATTTTAGCCTTTTAAAATAGGTATCTCATTGTAGTTTTAATTTTAATTTGCATTTCTTTATTGACTAATGATATTGAGCATCTTTAAGTGCTTATTTGCCAAATGTATATCTTTGGTAAAATGTTCAAACTTTTGCTCATTTAAAATTTGGACTGTTTGCTTTCTTATTTATTTTATATATATTTTTCATGTAATGGTATTTTATTCATTCATATTGAATACAGTATTCCTTCATATGAATCTATTCCATTGTGGATAAACATTTGAGTTTTTTCAGATTTTTGCAGTACAAACTATGTGCTATGAACATATTTAATCATGATTTCAAAATCTCATGTACAAGAAAGTCTATCTTATATAGAGTGGAATTACTGCATTATAGAGTATGATTATCTTCACCTGGACCAGGTAATGCCAACATTTTCTAAAGCGCGTTTTACCAGTTTATAGCCCTTCTAGCAGTGGATGAGAGATACCTTTTTGCCACACTCTCACCAATGTAGTTGAGGTCTGACATGAGCAGTGTGAAATGGTGCTTCTCTGTGGCGTCAGTTTGTTTTTCCCCAGTGAACTTGGACATTTTTTATGTTTATGGACATTCCTGGAGCAGTAATCCTAGCTCTCCTTACTCTTTTTCATGTCTTTTGTTGAACAAATTCTACATTTAAATATGATTTAAATTATCATTCTTTTCTTCAGCTGTTTACAGTTAATGTTTTCCCCCTTGTTTAAGGCATAGACCCTGTCCCCACTACCTCTGCCTCAGGACCACCCAGTCTGATCCCAGTCTCTGCTTGTCCCTTCTTGGATCTCCAGCCTTTTGTGAAAGGACTGTTAAATTTTTTTGCCCTTTCAAAAATTGCATTGGTTGGGTTTTTTTTTTTTTCTTTCTGGTTTGTAAGAGTTCTTTTTATATTCTGGAAAACAGTTTTCTTGTGGGTGATAGGTGTTGTAAATATTTTAAATATCTTCTCCAGTTTGTGTTTTCACTCTCTGTGGTATCTTAATTTTAATTAGTCAACTTTATCAGTCTTTTGTTTTCTGGTTTGCACTTATGACATGTTGTTTAAGGAATCCTTTCCTGTCCCAACTTCCAGATGTTTTATACTTTTAAATTTTCTTTTTTATACTTTTTTCCCTTAATATTCATCTAAAAAATATTTTACTTTTATGTTTACATTCATTAATAGTTTGTATTAGTTTCAGGTGCACAACGTAGTGGTTAGACGGTCATATACTTTACAAAATGTTCCCTGATATTTCAAGTTATAGTTTTATATTTTTTGCTTCCATATTTAAATCTTTCATCCATGTGGACTTGATTCGTGTGTATATATGATGTGGATAGACTCAAGTTCATTTTTCTTCCCCATCAGTAATAACTAGATTTCTCAACACCATATATTGAAGTGTTCATTTTTCACTGCTGTGCAGTACCTCCTTTATTGTTAATCAAGTTTTCATAAATACACGTAAAAAGCTCTTTCACAGCTTTTTATTTATTTTATTCAGCTTGATTGGTCTATTTGCTATCTGTGGCCAATATAACAGTGTTTTAATTAGTATAGCTTTGTAACAAGTTTTGATCTCTAGAGAAAGCCCTCACATCTTTCTTGTTCTTCAGGAGTGTCTCCCCCACTCCTCCCCTTCCCCCGCTTTTAAACATTTTTAAATGGAATTTATTGGGTGACAGTGGTTAGTAAAACCATACGGGTTTCAGGTATACAGCTCTATGGTATCATCTGCATGTCCCATCATGCGCTCACCACCCAAACTCAAGTCTCTCTCCGCCACGATTTATCCTCCTTTGCCCTTTTCCACCTTTCCCCACTCCCTTTCTCTCTGGCAGTCACCATACTATTGTCTGTGTCCATGTTTTTTCTTAGTCCTTTCATCTTTTGCACCCAGTCGCCTGTCACCCCTGACAGCTGTCAGTCTGTTCTATGCATCTATGAGTCTGTTTCTATGTTAGTTAGATTCCATATTTAAGTGAAATCATATGGTACTTGACTTTCTCTGACTAGCTTATTTCACTTAGCATAATTCCTTCCAGTCCATCTATGATGTTGCAAAAGGTAAGATTTTCTTCTTATTTTATGGTCAAGTAATATTCCATTGTGTAAATGTATCACAACTTTTTTATCCATCTACTGATGGGCACTTGGGCTGCTTCCAAATTTTGGTATTGTAAATAATAGTTCAGTGACCACAGGAGATCATGTATTCTGTAGAATTA